ACAGCTCACAGCAACCTCCAACTCCTGGGCTCAAGTGAGTCTCTTGCCTCCGCCTCCCAAGTTGCTGGGACCACAGGCGCCCGCCACAACGCCCGGCTATTTTTTGTTTGCAGCCGTCATTGTTGTTTGGCGGGTCCGGGCTGGGGATGCGAACCCGCCACCTTAGGTGTATGTGGCTGGCGCTTTAGCAGGTTGAGCTATAGGCGCCGAGCCGGCAAACTCTTAAGAGGATTTTGTTTTGATTGGTTTGGGACGTTTATATGAATTTTTTTTTTTTTTTAGATTACAGGTCCACCAGGTTGTGGAAAAACTCAGTTTTGTATGATGATGAGCGTTTTGGCTACACTGCCTACCAACATGGGAGGATTAGATGGAGCTGTCGTGTACGTTGACACAGAATCAGCATTTAGTGCTGAAAGGTAGGAGATTTTATTCCATTTCATTATAATGTTTTACTTTTATAATGTGCATTATATGTAGCATGGAATATTTACAGATAGTTTAACATTTTACCTTTTTTTAAAGAACAGAATGCTAGATACTATTTTTTTGCTTTTTGCAGTTTTTGGCTGGGGCTGGGTTTGAACTCGCCACCTCCGGCATACAGGGCTGGCGCCTTATTCCTTTGAGCCACAGGTGCCTCTGCTAGATACTATTTTAAAGGAATATTTCTCTCTCTCTCTTTTTTTTTTTGAGATAGAGTCTCACTATGTCACCCTCTGTAGAGTGCTGTGGCATCACAGCTCACAGCAACCTCAAACTCTTAGGCTTATGCAATTCTCTTGTCTCAGCCTCCCTAATAGTTGGGACTACAGGCACCCACCACAATGCCCGGCTGTTTTTCTGTTGTAGTTGTTATTGTTGTTTGGCAGGCCTGGGCTAGGTTTGAATCTGCCAGACCCGGCGTGTGTGGCTGGCCCTAGCCGCTGAGCTACAGGTGCTGAGCCAGGAGTATTTCTTTTAAAATTGACATAGGAAACAGTTTCTTTTTTTCCCCTAGTAAATGAAAAAAAATGTATTGAATGAATGATTTTACATCCACATAGTAGAACCACTTAGATAACATCCAGATTATTTAATTTCTTTTTTGCATTATGTGGAATGTCTTCATCTCAAGAGAAATACTCTTCATTGAATAGACAAGGAATGTTGACTTCAGTTATTGCAAATGTTGATGATTTCATTAACCTCCAAATAGTGTGGTCCTGCTGCAGCTGGTAGCTTGTTGCTCACTCTTTTTAAGACCTAGGGGGGATGTATATTCGGCAAAAAAGAATTCTTCCCCCTTGTTACTTATTACTAATGTAAAGCACTAAGTCCTGGTTAGTTTCATAAACTATTCTGAGGTCAAAGTTTCTAACCTTGCAGAAGGATGACTTGCAGAACCTAACCTTATAGAACCTCAGACTCTTGGGATTAAGTGATTCTGTTGCCTCAGCCTCCTAAGTAGCTGGGACTACAGGTGCCCCCTACAATGCCCGGCTATTTTTTTGTTGTACTTGTCATTGTTGATTTAGCTGGCTAAGGCCAGGTTTGAACCCACTAGCCTTGGTGCATGTGGCCGGTGCCCTAGCTGCTGAGCTACAGGTGCTGAACCTGCTTTTAGTTTTTTATCCCGTTCTCCATATGGAATGGATTTTGAGGTTTGGTGGTAGGGGCAAGTAGAATAAAAAATCCCAGTGTTCTTTAGTATAGATGCCAGATGTGGCTTTCTTATACTGCCTTTTAGAGCTTGTCATGGTGGGTCATAGAGTGGAGCTGGCTCTATAGTAGGTGTTTGATCACATTGCATTTGTTCTGTTATAGGACTGCTTGACTCCTATTTGGAATTATCAGGGAGGGTTGGTCAATTGGGTAGGAAATCACTCTGCTGCCAGTAACTGAACACCCCAAATAAAAAGAGGCTTATTTTTCTCATATTATAAGACCTGAATAGTGATTGCTGGCACAGGTTCAGCTGCTCAGTGATGAAAGAGAGACCTAGGGCTGGTGCATTTTCAGATATTATATCCATTCTGTGCTCAAGTCAGTGGGAAGGAAAAGGGCCAGCTATTATCTCTTAGCAGGAAAATATTCTTTTTTCTCTGGATCCTCCTACTTGCAGATTTCCTTTTCATCTTCTGCAGTCATCCTGCAGATTTCTCACTGAACCACCCTCCTCTAAGGAGGCTGGGAAAGTGAGGGGAAAAGATAACAATCATGATGAGTTGCCTGGAGGAGGTTAATATTGGTGCCTAGGTACAATTGGGGCTATTATAGCAAGGAAGAAGTGGAAATGGATATTGGGTTGGTAATTAATGGTGTCTGTCACAGCTGGGATTGTTTCTGGACTTAGAGAGGACTAAAGCAGAGAAATATGAAACTCAGAAAGGAATATGTTTTAGCTTTTCGTGTTTTACCATTGTCTCACTTTGTGCTTATGAAGCAAGCTATCTGGTTAGTACAAATTGGAAAGTATTTGAAGAATTTATATGAGGGAGGATTAGAGGATTCACAAATAGAGCATTAGGAGAAGTCATAAAAAGTAAAAAATTATTTTCTTTGTATGAATATTTAGATGTCTTTTTTTTTTTTAAGAGACAGGGTCTCACTTTATCACACTCGGTAGAGTGCTGTGGCGTCACAGCTCACAGCAACCTCCAACTCCTGGGCTTAGGTGATTCTCTTGTGTCAGCCTCCCAAGTAGCTGAGACCCTAGGCGCCTGCCTCAACACCTGGCTATTTTTTGTTGCAGTTTGACCTGGGGCTGGGTTTGAACCCACCACCCTCAGTATATGGGGCTGGCACCCTACCCACTGAGCCACAGGCGCTGTCCTAGATGTCTTTTTATCAAGAAAGAGCAGAGGTGCAGTTAAAAAAACCCTGAACTTTAAATGCGTTAAGGAAAAAAAAAATCCTGTGGATTGTACTTGAAAGCATTTGGAAAGATTAGTTATATTTTTAAAAGCAATATATTAACTAGTTTTTTTATATGTCTTTTAGAAGATAATAATCTAAAATAGTATGTTAATTATGTTTCTTAATCATAGGTGGCAATTATATCTCTAGATTATTTTAACAAATAGCTAATAATAAAGTCTGGTGCTAATCCCTGGGGTGATCAGGGACTAGACTGGGGAGAGGGGAAAGTCTGGATCCCTTGCTTCTGATTAATTCAGAAAAGGTCTGTTTATTTGTTTTACCTACTGGGCTTCTGTTCAAGTTCTAATATAGTCTTAGATACCGTATGCTTTCATGTACCTTGACAATGTGGATAAAGAGACCAATTCAGTGACCCATCCTCATATTCTAGTCCAATGGTTCTCAATCTTCCTAATGCCGTGACCCTTTAATACAGTTCCTCATGTTGTAGTGACCCCCAGCCATAAAATTATTTTCGTTGCTACTTCATAACTGTAATTTTGCTACTGTTATGAATCATGTACGTATCTGATATGAAGGATGTATTTAAGCGACCCCTGTGAAAGGGTCATTCAACCCCCATAGGGGTTGTGACCCACAGGTTGAGAACTGCTGTTCTAGTCTATGAAAATTTTGGCAACTGTGAGAATTACAGTATACATGAATTAATGAATAATACATTATCCCTATTAGAGAGAATTAGAAAAAGATGTAACTGGGTTAAAAAGAAAAGGAAGGTAATATGGATGGCAAATAGTAAGAGAGGTTTTAAAATAAAGGTTTAGGAGAAATAAAATGGATAGAAGAAAGTAAAGGTGGATCTTAGAGCTGTAAATGGAAGGGTCAGTAAGTGTGTGAGAAAAACTCAGGAGTCAGGAAAGTAAGATACAGTAGCCAGTAACCTGTAAGGGGGTACCTGGGAAGACAGGGCATAGGACTGGAATTTAGGAGGAAAAAAGGAAAGATCCTGAGTTGTAGGGCAATCAGAAAAGTTTTGAAAACTGGGAAGAAAGGGGGAGGAAGAGGAGGAAGATGTTAATCAAATAACTACTGAAATGTAAAATTCGTAACTAAGTGTACATAAGAGGGGCACATGTATTGGTACTCTGTGGAAACAGTAGCTGAGCTTAGAAGGTTACCTCTCAGAGTGCCAAGTGCCACACAGATGGTGCCCTTTCATTCCTGCTGGCTGCAGTCAGATGCTCCTTGATAGTGTTGCAGCAACAATGGACTGCATATATGATGGTGGTCTTGTAAAATTATAATGCCGTATTTTTACTGTACCTTTTCTATATTTATTTAATGAGACAGAGTCTCACTATGTCGCCCTCAGTAGAATGTCGTGGCGTCACAGCTCATAGCAACCTCTAACTCTTGGGCTTAAGCGATTCTCTTGTCTCAGGGTCCCAAGTGGCTGGGACTACAGGCACTTGCCACAGTGCCCAGGTATTTTTTTGTTGTTGTTGTAGTTGTTATTGTTACTTAGCTGGCCTGGGCCGGGCTCAAACCTGCCGGGCTCAAACCTGCCAGCCTTAGTGCATGTGGCTGGTGCTGTAACTACTGTGTTACAGGTGCTGAGCCTCCTTATCTATATTTATTTATTTATTCTTTTTTTTTTCTATATTTAGATACACGAATATTTGCTGCTATGTTCACATTGCCTGTAATATCCAGTACAGTAACATGCTGTCCAGGTTTGTAGCCTAGGAACAATAGGCTATATTATATAGCCTAGGAGTACAGCAGGCTGTACCATCTAGGTTTGTATGAGCATACTCTGATGTTCACACAGTGACAAAATCACCTCACACTGCATTTCTCAGAACGTATCCCTGAAGCAATGCAAGCCTGAATTTAGAATCAGTGTATACAGATGGAGGCATGGTAGGCACTGGGAATGGCTAGCCGTGACTTTGTCTGATCATGAAGGCAGATTAGGGTGGTCTTAGGACAGTTGACCTATTTGCTAGTTGGTATAAATCTGAAGTCTTTGACCCAGAGAAAAATAATAGGAAAGTGAATTCCTCTTACCATTTTTTGAGATGGTTTTATGATTCTGGATAGATTTTCCTCAATGTAGGTCCCACTGCCATATCATTTATGAATCGAGGTGAATTAGGGAAAAGATCCTGAAAAGTTTCTAGAGTAGGAAGTAGAAATTAGTTGCAACCAAACTTTATCTGGAGTTATCTGGAATCTGTAAAGAACCAATAGATTCATATTATTATATTTAGTAATGTATATCAAATGAACAAGAAAATAGTTCATATGTAGGAAGATTTGAGAAGCCATAAACTTATACTTCAGAACATATGTGAAGCTATATTTCAACTAAGGTTTTGGCAAACTTTTTACATTCAGTGTATGTTTTATTTCAAGTTGGCATGTAATAACTAGCAGAAAGCTTTTATCTTTCCTTTTATGCAAGAGCTGTGAAGTCACAGAGGAAGCTAATACTTGTGGACAATACTTTTTCTCCTTAATTGACATATACCTTTTTTTTTTTTTGAGACAGAGC